TATATATATATATGAAACACAATGATAATAATTACCTAATAAAGTTATGAAAATGATGCTCCTTAATATTTGCATCGTAATATACAAATATTACGATGTTAAACTTATTTACGTGCCTATTTTAGACTTCTTTACGTCTTGACTTTAAATAATTAACAAAAGATCATTTGTCTTTTATCAAATTATTTGTTGCCAGAGTCACAATGCTGTATCATCTGTCGAAAATCCTACCTATAATCATTAAATATTGCTGAATTATCTTGTTCAATAACTTAGACTTAATACGAAATGTGATAAGAGGAAAGAAGACTTTTAGAATGAACTTAAAGAAATATTTATTATATAGAATAGAAAACGACAAAAAATAATAGCAGAATATAATTAAAGAATAATTAAAGAAAGAATTCAGAACGTTTAATAAATTTCTTATTAAATATAGAGATATCCATTAGGAGAAGATGATTAAAAATGTAAATACTTAAAATTTAAAATGATTTGAATAATACAAACGGAATGAGGTTGCGCGAAAACGAGCACATAATGTTTACTATAATTAATTAACAAGGTCACGACAACTGAGAGGACTTTAATATCGTTCAATGTATTTGGCAAATTATATATGTTTCGATTGAATTTCACACAAATCAATGATTCAGTAATTTGATAACGCGGAATAATCTTATAAGATTTCACATAAATAGCTCTCAATTAATATTATGAAACCGTACAGTAACTGCATTACTAGAAAGACAATGAATTTGTCAATCATTAAAACATGAAATAACTTGTTAAATCGTTAACCTATAATACAAGAAGTGACACAAAATTGCAGGAATAAAATGTCATAAAACTAGAAATAATAACATGACAGTTATTATATAAATAATAATTGCTAGCGTCTCGAGAAAAAGGGTTCTAACTCGATGGAATAAACCGCAATGTTGACGCGTCGGCGATTTTATTGTACTAAAAATTATAACATCAACGTTTTCACGAAAAAAAAGATATGAAGAAAAGTTCGATATTGCAACTATTCAGTCAACTTGAACAGAATTAGCAGCTTTATTAATCTTCACTATATCGATATCAATATTAATTTGTTCTTCTTACCAAATTAAAATCCGTTTGATTTCTGTACATTTATAACATCACAACAACGACGAACGAATGACTCGTAAGAGACAAGCGTGATTCTTGTTGACGCGTTTGAGTATGGTTCATGTGAATCCAATTGGCTGTCAGTGCTGCGCGCGAAATTGTTTACTCTAAATGCCCGTGTCAGACTAAAGATTGGGATTCAAATTAAATTTAACCAATTAAAAGAAAAAAAAAATAATATCAAGTTTCGATCTTTGCTTTGATTAGTCAAATTCAATATTTCAGTCTCAATTTTAATCTCAATATCTAGAAAGAATAATTTTGCTGAATTATTTAAAAATTTACATAGATCTGAAAATAATTTTATTAAACACAAAAATAATTATATAAGAAATTCAAGCTCATGAGTAAAAAATTTTAATATTCTAGCAACTAAATTAACAATTAATATTCATAATTATTTTAATATTAATAATTTAATATTATATAATAATTCAACAAAATTAATTTTCAGATTTGTATCTAGCTAAATTTTTATTTCAAACATTTTTTTCTTTGTAGTCTGATACAGACATTAAACAAGAATCTCAAAATTATTATATGATATTTTTCTTTCTATTTATTGAAAATATTATTATTGGAGCTATCTGTTTATTCGGTATAATTGCTAAATGAAGATTATATCTATTTTTTCTTTTTTAAATTCTTTTTATCGTAATTCTAAACTCGATTATATCAGCACCCCTACGATACGTGTATATATAATGGGATTTATAAATTGTATTTCGGATATATGTACGCGCGGTGACCGCGGGGGATCGGTCCTTTTTACGTCAGCGGTTGCAAATCGTCGGTTTATATTTGTTATTCCGAGCAGGGTGCCAGAAGCAATCTCCCTCCCGGTTTAGGGAGAAAAGGGAGACGTAGAGAATGGCGGGACTCGTAACCTGGACACGGCCTTTGCAAAGGCAGATGAGAAAGAATTATCTCGTTGATGTTGAAAACAAGCACGCGATTGTTCTTCTTTTTTTGCGACCGTTCACTGAATATTTTTAATTTGCAAAACTGACAAAGCGTCGCGTCGTGTACAAAGAACTGGCAATATATCGTGCACGGACAGTTGCACGATTACCAAGCCATTCCGATTTCGCATTAATGGATTTCGCATTACGCTATTTGTATATGATCGCTTTGAATTAAAAACGATTTCATAAAGCTCGCTGATAAAGTCTTCATATATTAACTATTTATTTCAGTGTGGTTCGCATAAAACTAATGCAGAGCCAATTGAAAATCCTTATTAGACAGTTTTATTATTAATATTTCAGTTGAATTTATGTATCTTCTGGTGTTAAAAAATACGATAATTTCTTTGAAAATTCAGCATTTTAATGACAGAATTAATTACTTCCACGGTATTGAAAAATATTTATACGTGAATGTATTAGATGTCATAATAATGTTACTATTATTTCAGTATACAATCATATCTCATTAATTCTTTATTTTTTGCATTTTCTTATGAGCTTCATGATTTCGTACAAGATAATACTTCCGTAACTCCTGTAATTTTTCCGTACATAAAATAGCTTACCTGTACAATGTGAGAAAATTATCTGTCATATCAAAACTGTTATGTCGTGAAAAATTCTTATTTCTATTTAGAAGAGCAAAAACGAAATATTTTAATCTTGAGCTTAGTAAATGGGTAAAGTTAAATTCTTGTGAGAAAATAGAGTATTAACTGAAATAACTAAAATATTAACAGAATAAAATATTAACTGAAATTTGTTATATAAATGTAATATAAAAATATAGCGGCACACAACTTTCAATACCATTAAGGATGTTCTGATTATAAAATACCTAAAAATATATCAGTCAAAAAGATTAGCCAAAAGTCAATATCAATTAATTTTAGCCAAAAAATTTTGTCATAAATATGCTCTGAAACTAACTGCAAAAACAAAACGACAAAATTTGGCTGGCTTATGCTGCGCAATAACCATGTTTTTCTGCAGTTTTAGATAAACAACTTTTAAACGAGTAAGTGGCTTTAAATAAACTTTCGCACAAAAATTTTTGTTAGAATTTTATTAATAAATATAAAAAATTTTATTAATTCACGGTATTACTTTTCGTAATAAATTTGTAGACAAATACTACAAAGCGTGATTTTGCTTTGATAAGAATCAAAACAAACAAAAAATTAAATAACTTTTAAACATAAGAGAATTGTGTTAAAAGTTTACACATTATTCAGATATAATAATAGAATCATTTATGAAATATTTATATTTTTGATAATGTGATTTGAAAAAAGTTTATTACCTTATCGATTTTAAGTCAATCAACTTCAATTTTAAACCTTTTAATCGCAAGAAAACTAGTGCATGTCTGTCTTTTATACATTATATACAGTTTTCTCTAAATGATTATGATTATTCGATTAATTGATCCATTTTGCAATAGAGAGAGAAGAGTAAAGAGAAAAAAAAATAACTTGTGTGTTTCAACGTTTCGACAGAATATCCAACGTATTCGCGAGAAATTTTATCGAATTCTAACAAGACTAGTCTCAGCTTTCCTTCTCAGAGCTGAGTTTTCGCAAAGGACCAGTTCATCGTGTTCCTAATTTCGTTTGCCCGGTCGAGATTTCGGTGACTTTAACCTGAGAAATCTTTGAGATGCGGCGCACTGCTCGCGCACACTCGCGCGCTTCCCGTGATTTTTCTCGTTTCCACGCTTCTTGAGAGCACTTCTTGAACCGTCCTCTCTATTCTGCCGCCGGAACTTTCTGAGGTTCTTCCGCTCTTCGTCTTTCTTTTTCTTTCTTGCGAAAAGAAAAAAACGGAACGGCAGGCAAGATAAACTTCGCGGCGTAGAAACCGCGGGTTTTCCGTCAAAGTCGAAGAAAACCAGGCCAAATAAATGTCTCTTACATAACATTAGGTGAATCAATGTTTTTTTGCGACTGATCGCGATTCTCTAATTTATTAAGAGATAAGCGAATAAAATTATTATTCAAGCATTGTCGCGACAAATAGAAAAGCGTAATGAATACTTATTAGATGCAAGCAAACTGTAACTTTAATTCGATCAAAACTATTTAATAACTCTGGCATTAATATTCCGTTAAAGTAAAAATTAATTTCAATTAAATAAAAAATTACATTTAAATAAACATACATTTTTTTATTTTTTTACATTTACTCTTAAATTGTAACTTCTAAATTTTCTGTGTTTACAACTTTTTATAATTTAAAAGTTGTAAGAATGTTCCATTTGTTAAAAGAAATCACTTGTAAATTATATCATAAATTAAAAAATTCATAACGGAAAAAAAATTTTTAATTTTGTATATATCACAAGAGCGATTTCATATAAAATTATTCATACATCTCATAAAGCGTTAACTTTATTCAAATGTAAATTCGTCTAAAAGGGGCAAGTCATTTTTCATCGATGCATTCAACAACGCAATCCGGCTCGAGGGAACCCCCGTGAAATTAATAATAGTTAAAAATCGCATCAGACACGTTTATTCCGACGTATAGTAGCTATCCTTATTAACGGCGGATACTTAAATCACCAGGCACGTTCCTGTGAAAGTAAGTGCGCTGCGTATAAACCGACTATGGCGTAATATCCCCCGCCACAGAGTGAATTATATTTCATTTATGCGCGTTAGGATTAGCAGCCATTAGTCAATGTTATATCTTAATTAGCATGCGCCTTCGCTACCCCGTTTACGCCAAGTTTAATTCGACATTTCTTGCATCGGAGTCGCGCAAGAGGTATAAATCATGACAAACAGCCGCGACAATCTCAACAACGATTCTCCACGTTCTGCAGTAATATTTTTGCAATTTACTAAAACGTTATCTCGTATTTCATTCAAATAATTTCCATAATCCAAATCGATTCTGCTTCATCTGACTTTTTCCGCCAAGAAAAACTCGAATAAAGATGCGTTT